CCACCTGGAGAGCACGGGAATATAGTTCAAGTTTTGGCAATCAGGCACCCACCTAGAGAGTACGGGAATACAGTTAAAGTTTTGGCAATCAGGCGCCCACCTGGAGAGCACGGGAATACAGTTCAAGTTTTGGCAATCAGGCGCCCACCTGGAGAGCAAGGGAATACAGTTCAAGTTTTGGCAATCAGGNTTGAAGTTTTGGCAATCAGGCGCCCACCTGGAGAGCACGGGAATACAATTCAAGTTTTGGCAATCAGGCGCCCACTTGGAGTGCAAGAGAATACAATTAAAGTTTTGGCAATCAGGCGCCCACCTGGAGAGCAAGGAAATACAGTTAAAGTTTTGGCAATCAGGCGCCCACCTGGAGAGCAAGGAAATACAGTTAAAGTTTTGGCAATCAGGCGCCCACCTAGAGAACAAGGAAAATGGTTCAAGTTTCAAAGGAAGACAGTTCAGTGTTGGCAATTAGAAACCTACCTGGAAAACAAGGGAATTCACTTCAGAATGCAATTCAAGTCAACAACAAAAGAAACTCGTGGCAAGAATGCAAGTCAACAGTCCGAGGTGATCAACAGAAGTTAGTCACAATAGGAAAAAGAGGGGAAAAACAAGAAGTTAATCCAAATGCAGAAGTTGATGAAAGATGTGGGCTGCTCAAGACATGGCCGAGGACACAAGCACTGCATGCCCGGTTTTGATCCGAAAAGCTGAAGAAGAACGAGCTAGCACCTGCAGCTAGCAAGCGTCAAGGTTCAAATCCAAAGTCTGCGTGAAGAACCAAGATCAAGACTTATAGATAGGAATCTTGTAACTCGTAGTTGATAGGCTTAGCTAGTCTTTTTCATGTTTTGATTTTTGATGTAACATCAGGACCGCGGACCGGAACCTCGGCGGAACGGCACCTCGACCGGCTCTCCACCTCGGTATACTCCATCGCCTCACTCACCTCTGAACTACACGTGGCCTGATTCCTTTATAGCCAAAGATATGTAGGCAGCTCAGATACCAGGGCTCGGTCACATTTCCCTTTTCTCTTAGTTTTAATTTCTCCAAATAAGGGTCGGGTCAAAAAATCTGTCTTGTCGTTCTTTGTCTGAAAACTCTTCGTGTTTCCAGTCAAAGAGGGGCAGCTGTAGCCATGTGATTTTTGACCCTCCCCAAGATTTTTCATATTTTAGCACGTAAATATTTAATTTAGGCCTAATATAGCTATTTTAACTCATTTTTACTCTTTACTTTTATTTTATTACAAGAAAACGAAAATTACAAAAAAAGGCTCATTAATGTTTTGTAGTCATTTTTAATCTTGAAAAAATACCAAAAAAATAGTTTTGGTTTAATGGTGAGTTTTATTTTAATAATTATTTTTACTTAAGTAGAACTAATTAATATTTTTAATAATACTTTTAGTTAATTAAGCTAATTTTAAAAATAGCTAGTCATAAAAGCCCAAGTTTCTAGCTTATTCCTTAAGCTCAATATCCAATACTCATTAAGTTAATCCTAGGGATTTTTCTAGACTCTTCTTTAGAACAAAAAATAAATAAAAAGACCCTAAGAACTTAATACAAAAAGACCTAGGAACTAATTGGCAAAATACACAAAAATACACATTAGACCTAAACTCTACAATAAAGAAGGGATAGGGGTAACGCCTAAAAAGAGAGACGGATACACTTTAATGGGGGAGGGGCCGCAATTCTCAAAATCCAAGAGTGACCCCCTGAAGCTTGGTCTCTTTCACACCCCCCTCCCCATCGACGGAGCTCTTTCTTCTTAACCACACCCCAAATAGACCCGTCATTCTTCAACCAGACCCCACCCCCGAGTCATCTCCTTCGTCGAACCTCCAGCGACCACTCCCTGAGCCAGATCTAGCCGTTGTTTCTCATCCAGTCAAACGGACCTCAAAACACAATAGACCTAGCAGCCATAGACAAAGAGAAGCTGTTGCTTCTTCTTCATAAAACCAACAGACACTTCTTCCAAAAAACGCACACACACCATCACGCGCACGAACAGATTTTCGAAACGTAGAGTTTAACTAAAGTTGAGAATCGTTTTTGAGTTCGAATCCGTTGTCAGTTTCCGTTAAGGTTCGAGGTCGGGGTTAATAGCTCATTTTTGGTTTGCTGCTTTGGAAACTCTCTTCGTTGACTCATCGTCGAAGAATATGCAGCAGCGAGGTTCAACTCTTTTCATTCTTTATGGATCAATAGCTTTACATTATATTTGGATAAGTTTGAATCTACATGGATCTGTTTAATCTTGGTTGGTTTCCTTGTTTAGTTTATTCAATTTTTGCATTTCTTTTCCTTTGAACCAAGCTTTACAGATTTGTCCATGAACTTTGTATTTTTCATTGCATTTGATTGGTTTAAATTGCTCTTTCTAAAATCAGATGTTGACATATCTTCTTTGTTCGATAAGTTCTGTGTGCTACTTATTTGTTCTTTGAGTTTTCCTTAGTAAAATTATGGTGTCAAGTTGTTGCTTGTACTTGAAGCTGAATAGAACAGTAGATGGCCATTTGGTTTTGGTTTATGCTCAGAGGAAATTGACTGGTTTCAAATAGCCATTTTGTCGCTTTGTATTTAGAAGTTGATTAGTTTTATCAAAATTAAACCCACGGGTACAACGTTTGAAAGGTCTTACTTCATTTTGGCGATCTCCTAAAGAATAAGTTTATTCCATTGCTAAATCATATATGGTAGTACTGAGTGTTGGTGATAATTGTAAAGATATCTTAAAGAGATAACACGTCAATATTTATGGAATTCGATCGTGTTCGATGGTAATAGTTGAGTACGTATATCTTCTTTAGGAGAAAGTTGAGGCATGACATATTAAATAAAATATAGTTTATGGCCCTCGGTTAATTAATAATAACTCCTTAGAACACGAGGCGCGCCATTTAACAAATTTCTCGTGGCCCTCGCAAAGTTAAAAATGCGTAGTTGCTTTAGGCGCATTATTTTAATAATATTACCTTTCTAAACTCGAGTGTGCATTTCATGTGACCCAAATCCAAATCATAACAACGTTGAATAAAATGTGTTTCGGATTACGGGTGCATTTCATGTGGCGCAGTCCAAAGACATGTTTTAGATGGCATTGAAATTTTCCTTAAAATAATTAAAGGCGGTTTAAAGTTAAAATGCACATAGGTTTAAAAGTGTTTTAAAATCAGATAATAGGTCAATAATAATAGTTGAGCGACCGTGCTAGAACCACGGAACTCGAAAATGCCTAATACCTTCTCCCAGGTTAACAAAATTCCTTACCCGGATTTCTGTGTTTGCGGACTATAAAACAGAGTCAATTTCCTCGATTCGGGATTCTAAACCGGTGACTTGGGATACCATAAATTATCCTAAGTGACGACTCTAAATTTTTAAATAAATAATCTCGTTTCAATTGTCACTTAAATTAAAAAAACTCCGTTATACTCCCTTCTTTCGGGGGTGTAGGTAAAAAAGAGGTGTGACAATGACAATTTTATCCTTCATCTCCTCCAATAATAGAAAAAACTAGACTTGAAATATTGATGTACGTTTTAGAAAACTAAGTTATTGCTTCATAAATGGATACATTAACCAAGCTTCTTTTCGTGAATCTCAACCTGTAATAATTTGAAGAGTTGAGATTGATAACATAATGAACATTAAATGATTCCTTCTTGAATGAGTACGTTAACCAAGCTTCTCTTCTACTGGACTTTTATGCCTTATAGAAACTGTATTATTTCATAAACCACTGTATTGATTAACCAATTAATTCACTATGTTCAAAATACGAAGAATATGAGAAATTGAAAAAAGGTCAGTCATCATTGATACATTTAATGATGCATTAAAAAGAAATCTCTAACGTAAGGATTGCAAGCAGATAAATAGGGTGTGAAGTTGAGGCATCTCTTCAAGTTCTTCCTGTTTTTATACATAGTTCCACAAAAAACTAAACAGAAAAAGCTTCTACCATTTTTTTTTAACTAAACCTGAAGGTAAGATATAGGTATGAAAGAAAGAATCAACAATATTAGAAGTCCTAACTCCCACTGAAATGGCAAAAGGATGAGGATACTGTCAATCTTCACAGTTTCGCTAAAGAATTTTGATATTTATTGTCTCCCTTTTTGATTCAGGTATGTTATATAAATGGTGTATCAGGGATAGTTTGATGTTGACACTATTCAATTGACGAGACATATGAGTGAAGTTATTTCTCAGAAGTGAATTGAGTAAATTAAGTGAGTGCTCCTCTTGTAACTAATTAAATTGCATGCATTTCTTAACTGTCATATCATTAAGCAAGATGACAAAAGTTGCAATAGGGTTAAGATGCCTTTTGAAATCTGAGGCAACTAAGGAAATGAGTAGAATCTAATCCACACGTCATGATAAAATTAAGGAATAAGCATGAAGCACACCATTTTGTGTTTGGAAGATATGGATAATTTCAAACTTTTTGGGATCTTATTTGCTGGAGCAAAAAGCAGTCGGAAACATATAAATACATAGTCTAAAATGTATATGTTTGTGGTATTATTTGGAACTTTGGTACATTTATATTCCCAACCAATTGATTACCATAACACTCTGTAACAGCGACCAACTTGATAGAGAAATTTTGTTGGTACTTTATAGTGTGTTTATAACAAATGAAACAAATAAATCCATGGAAAAATGTACAGCCATTTGATCAATGAGTAATTACATTATGTTCAAATTTTAAATTTGACTGAGACTCTCCCTTTTGTGAAATGTGTAAACCCTTCATACTTTATTTAAGCCAAAACGGTATATGCTCTTTGCAATAAGATAATTTCAATGAGGTAATAATCTTATATATAGTAGTAATTTACAATCACAAGCAAAATGATAACATCTTCATTTTGACACTCTGAATACACATGGATCTTTTCAGTTTACACAATTAATTTTATGTACCTTACGAAGATGAAAACACTTAAGTTAATAAATGCTACTTTTGACAAGCACTTTTTCATGATGTGAACAAATTTATAGGGGGACATATAATCAAATAGTTACTTTGTCAGTGTGTCTCACTTTTAATTGAGAGATTTGATTATCAAAATACAAAGGTAGAAATTAGTAGAGTCCGTTTAACTTTAGGTTTTTAGATAAAAGTTTCGGAGAAAATCTCTATTTTGATTATACACGAGTATTAGAACTATCTACGCCACTATGTAGCAAAACAAATGTATAAGATTCCTATATATTGGTATTGAATGTCTTTCATCTCTTTAACTACTTTAGCCATGTCACTTTAGTTTCTAATTTTTTTTTTTCTAATCTTGTCTATCATATATTATTATAAGGTCGATGGCCGATAAAAGACATTCAATACCAAAATATGAAAGAAAATCAATATCAACACATTTAATACCACTATGTAAGTTGCTATTTTCAAAATAATATTGATAGGGCAATACGCGCATCGTGCGTGTCCAGAGACTAGTATATATATATATATATATATATATNCTTACTTTACTTTTAGTTCGAAAGTGTTGATTTATGTTTCCAAACCTAATCAAAATGTGCAAATTGCAGGAATGTTGGAGATTTGGACTGTAATAAAGAAATCTAACTTAAAAAGGAGTGCTCCGGCTCATAAGGCAAGAATGGGCGCAACAGACCAAAAGTGCGGTCCGCAGAAGTATTTCTGCATCCGCGGAAGAAAGCCCGGACAACAAAATTCTCTCTGCGGCCACAGATTTGGTGTTGAAGCTCAGAGGTTGATTGAATAGAAGTGCAGACCCAAGGGCAGCTCAAGCACATACGAGGCCTAAAGCCAAAATTTAATATGAGGCCTAAATTTTTATAAGAAAGTTATAAGATATGTTTTTATTTAATTTGAAGTCTATTCTTCTAATGTTTTGAGATATAAAGTTGTTAATAATTTTTTTATAATTGATTTTCTCTACTAATTCTTGCTCGATTGATAATATAGTCAATCTATCTAAAAGTATTACTGAATACTTGAACTAGTGAATTTTGGAGAAAGAAGCTGAGTAATGAAATCCTAGAGAAAGAAGTTAGTAAGAATATAAAAGAAAAAAAACACACACAAAAAAAATATGTAGAGTTTTCTGAAATATGAAGAGATTAAAAAGAAGATTGACTTGGACAAATTGAGGAAGAGAGAGCAAATTTTTTAATGAAGGAGTAAAAAATGAGAAACTAAAAGTTATGAAAACTATTCATCTACACATTTTTAAGTAAGTCAAATTATTATTTTATTTATATATCTACAAAGTTTTCTTTCCTTTATATTAAAAACTCTAGTTTTGTATTAAAAATATTAAATATTATTTTTTAAATACCTATGAACCTATTATTTTTAAAAAAAATGGGGCTCCCTATATTTGGGAGCCTAAGGCACATGCCTTACTTCACATAAGGTTGGAGTCGGCCCTGTGCAGACCGCACACAAACTCAGAGAGTGTGCAAAACGACCAAAACTGAAGCCTTGCCAGAAGTGCGGACCGCACATGGAATTGTGCGGCCGCAGATCAAATTGTGCGGCTGCAGAATCCCTCAACCTGCAGACTCAAGCAAAGTGTGCACCGCACATAGAATTGTGCAGCCGCATAACCTCCCGAAAGATATTTTTATCAGCAAATTTTAGGCCACTATAAATAGACGGGAATCACTTTTTTGGTCAAGTTTGTAGATTTATGAGTTGTAGCCATTGTAATTTACCACTTTTGGTAATTTGTGACCAATTTGGGTTAAAAATACTATAATTTATGAGTCAACCCTAGTGTATAAACCTTATGAGTAATTAATCTAATGCTTGTTTATGATTGGGTGTTTGTTATTTAGCCTTGTTCATGCTTTAATTTTAGAATTAATAGTTGCAAACATTGATTCATACCTTTTTGACTTGGTCTTTACTTGAGAAAGAGAGATTTAGTCTAGAAAAACTTGGCTAACAAGAAATTAGGCTAGTTAAGGATTTGACTAGCCTAATTAACGGGTTTGAACTAGAGATAGGAAAAATCCAACTTGAGATCATATCAACTATTTGGATTGATACCCATTTGGGCTTGAGAAATTCAAATTGGACAAAATCACTCTATGACCGAGAGGTATCAAGTGAGGTAACTTAGATTTGAGAGCTATAATACACCCCGATCACTAAAACAAGTGTTAACATAATTAACCCATTAGGCTAATACCTAGAAATGTTACATCCCTAGGCCTTTTACCTATTTGAAAACAACCAAAAACAATTAAGCAATTTCTAGTTTCAATTCTCTAGTTAATCATTGATAGTATAGTTTATAGAAGTAATTTGCAAAACCAACTTGTTTGGAAGTGTATTTAAGCTATTTCTTCTACACGCATCAAGTGTACACTCTAATACCCATATTTATCTCTCTGAGGAAATTGACCCCGACTCATAGTTGAGTACTATTCTTTCAACGACCCCATCCATTCATTGTTGAGTGTGGATTGGGAGTGGATCAATTTTTGGCGTCGTTGCTGGGGAGCTTTAACGGTGTTAGATATATATTTGAGTGTGTTTTTGGAATATCTTCTTTGTCATCCGTATTACTAACTTGTTTAAGAAATTATAGGTACAAACATGGCGAACAATGAGCTCAGAAATTCGCCTTTGGGGGACTTAGATGGCGAGGAGGAACAACTCGACGAGGTACCTTAAGTGCCACAAGTTAATCGGACAGGCTAGGCACCACAAGTTAACGTGCTTGTTCCATCCCTACCTCCACCACAAGCGCCTCAACATTGGATATTGCCCAATAAAGGTTATGCTAGTGCAATAATCCCTCCCCGTATTAGGGAAGTCAACTTTCAAATCACCAACGTGATGCTCACTTTACATGAGCAACAGGGCTTCTTCATCGGTGCACAAACACAAAATGCTTACAAACATTTGAAGGTCTTTGTGGATACATGTTAGGGGAGCAAACAAACGAATGTTTCCGAGGATGCATTGAGGCTAAGGCTTTTTCCCTTCTCTCTATAAGGGAAAGCTTTAGATTGGTTGGATTGTTTGCCGGACCATTTAATTCACACTTGGGATGAGTTGGTGGCCAATTTTATTGCTACATTTTTCTCTCCGGGGCACATGGCTACACTTCGAGATGAGATATTGGCATTCAAACAAGATTCGAATGATTCACTACACGAAAATTGGGAGCACCATAGAACAATGGTTAAGGAATATCCCAACACCTATATGACAGAAAACATGTTGCAAAAAACCTTTTATCGTGGGATTAACACAACCAACCAATGTGTAGTGAATCAACTAGCTGGTGGAAACTTTATGATCGCGCCTTATGCAGAGGCGTGTGACATTCTAGATGAGATGGGGAGACGTCATCGGCTTGGAAATCCCGAGCCAATGTTCCACAAGGTGATCCGAATATGATCTACCTCCACAAAGAATTGCAAGACTATGGGCAAGTCATTGCCGAATTGACCACTACCATGACTCAACTAGGCCCAACTCAATCAAGTGCAAGACCCTAAGAAAGTTCATGCTACGGAGGGAGTTATTGTTTTGGTGAACAAGAAGAGGACCAAGTGTCCACAAATGCAAACCCGAGTGGAGAACTATGTGCAAGATGATGGAGGTTTTGATCAAGATGATTCTTAGAATGAGCAATAGGAATAAGTGCAATATGTGACCAATTTTCAAGGTCAAAGAAACAACTTCCAAGGGCCAAACCAACAACAATGGCGACCACAAAACAACCATGGCGAGTGGAGTTCTAATAATCAAGGGAATTGGTATAACAACAACAATCAAGGAAATTGGAGTGGAAACAACCAAGGAAATTGGGGAAGCAGCAACCAAGGTGGTTGGGGTAATGATAACAACACTATAGGGGATTTAATAATTAGTAAAGAAAAATCAAGAAATATACGGAAGCTAAAAGAAAATAAAGAAACAAAAAAAGAAGACAGAAATTAAAGATAGATTGAATTCAAGAATAGACTTCTTGTTGTTATCAAGTGATATCAGAGCATAGGCTAATCAAGAATTCAATCTTTATAATCTTGGGAGGTTCTTGAGCAAAAAAGAAAAAAAATGAAAAAGAAAAAGAAAAAGAAGAAAATCAGCCCCAAAAAAGTGAATAGCTCATTATTATTTCAAAATTCTAGTATTGTTTGGTTTCCAAGTCAAGAAAGGAAACAATAAGAGGGCATCCTAGTTCTTGAAGATTAATGTAACTTCTTTCCTTATTCTCGTGGGTTTTAGATTTTCAAAATTCTTTCCTTTTTCTTTTAAAACTAACCAATTCCTATTATTTCTAGGTTTGGCCATCCACTTTCCTTTTCTTTTTCTAACTCCTTATTCTTATCACTGAAGGGTTGTGACTTGTTAGGCTTATTAATATATATAAAGATTAACGACCAAGAGTTGCTTTGAGTGAAAAAAGGCAAGAGAGGTGAGAGTATTAGAATGAAAAAGCCAAATTTGAGAGATACATAATTCTTCTAATCTTTGTTCAAGATGTTTCAAATAGGTAGTTACAGTGAAAGGATGCGAGCTATGACTCAACAACATGAAAAGTCGAACTTACAGTATACCAAATGGAAGGAAGACAATGGTAAAGTTATTTTTCAAACAAGAGCTAAAGTGATATCTGCGATTTGTGCCCTTAGAATTGACAAAGAGTTTGGTTATAACTCAACTAGCACTTATATGGTTGAGAAATTGAACTTGCCTTGTGTTGAGCATATTGAACCGTACACGTTGAGAGGATTAAAGGTAGATAAAAGAGTGTTGTTATTATTCTTTATTGGAAGGTATGAGGATGTGATCTGGTGTGATGTAATTCCCATGAATAATTATCATATCTTATTGGGAAAGCCATGGTATGTCTACAGATGAGCTTCATATAGCATGTAAAAAAATAGATATTCTTTTGAGGTTAACGGGGAGAAACTCATTCTTGGGCCTTTGACTCCCTCACAATTTTGTGAATATAAAAAAACTATTAAAAGAATATGAAAAAATATGAGAGAGAAAAGAATGAGAGGAGTAAGGGAGTGCATATCGGCATCCCAAGAAAGGAAAAAGGAGAGGTTGTGTTGAGTGAAGAGAATGGGATGTCAAGTAAAAAAAAGAGTGAGCTTGAGAGAAAAGAAAAGAGAGAAGGCAATGAGGTTACAAAAGTCTATGAGGTAGAGAGATAAAAACAAGAGGTTTTGAGTGAAGAAAAATAAAAAAAAAACTTTAGTGAGAGAAAAGAGGCTAAAGGTGAGGAGAAAGTTAGTCTTGTGACAAAAGCCAAAGGGAGTGTAAGAAAGAAAAAGTTTTCTTTACTTCCTAACCCATTAACTCTTTCTTGTATTAGTTCTTGTGATTTTGTGCAGCCAAGTGTGGAAAGACCTTCTGAAAGGGGAGGTGAGGTGCAAGAGATAGTGGCATAAGATCCAATTGGACTCCAACATGAATTTGGCGAAATCTATTCTTGTTGGATGGTGGAAGATAAAATATTGGTTAATCTCTTTGTTGTTGAACCTTTTTGACTATTTTGATCCTTATCTACAGATTTATGACATGGAGTTCTCTAAAGACATTACTAAGTTAGAACCATTGTATAAAAGAATACACGGTGATGATGTTTCAATGGTAAATAAGTCCAAATATGGTATGCATAATAAGGAAAGAAGTTACCTTAATCTTCAACAACTAGGATCCCCTTTTATTGTTTCCTTCTTGACTTGGAAACCAAACAATACTTGAATTTTGAAATAATATGAGCTATTCACTTTTTTGGGGGGTTGTTTTTTTCTTCTTTCTTTTTCTTTTTCTTTTTCTTTTTCCTTTTTTTCCTTTTTTTTCTTTTTATTTTATTTTTTATTTTTTATTTTTTGCTAAAGAACCTCCCAAGATTATCAAGATTGAATTCTTGATTAGTCTATGT